AAAAAAAAAAAAAAGGGAAAACATTTTCATCGGGAAAAAAACCCCAGTTTTTCGAATAAAATTAAAGGGAAAAAAAAAAAAAAAAAAAAAAAAAAAAAATTGGTAGGCACAGTAGTGAGGTGACAAGTAAAAGTTACACACCGCCATTGGCATTATATGAGGCCGATGGCACGCTCCGCAGTTGAGTGCTCATGGGTATGAGCGATATTAAACCGTGCCTCCTCGGCTCATATTGTCTGTAAAGGAGGGTAAGAGCCAACGTCCAAGTGGGAAGCCTCTGTCCCCTGCAGGTTATAGAGGAATGCTGTGTTTGTAAATCAGGACTGAATACATTTTCTATTGACTTACAAAGAAGCCAGCCATCTGCAGACTATTCCCTACACTTCTGTGCACCAAGATGAAGGAGTCGTGTGAGCCAGGGCATCGGATTTACTACATTTTTACTACATTTTTCAGGTTCGTGTTGGAGTCACATTTGACTTGCACTTCAATGGCTAGAAAATGTTGATGGTTTCTTCAGAAAATGCCCATGCATCCATCAATACTCATGAGTCTCACCTCAGTATTTAAAAGTTTACAGCAAGGGTGTCAAACTCAATTGCACCGAGGGCCACTTCAGCATATTGGCCACCCTCAACGGGCCACATAGACGGTACAAATCAGGAGTGCATCCCTGCTAAAACATCCCAGACAAAAGGTTGACTTCCCTCATTCAGTTCTGTAGAGGCTTATAATGAGTCAATGGACCAGGTGTGTGAGTGAAGGAATCCATCTAAAGCTGCAGATGGTAGCTCTGGAAAACTAGACTTGGGCACCCCTAGCATAAATGTATAAAAATACAATGTGAAAAATTAATTAAACACCACCTCATATTGTTAAATAACTGATTTTATGTATTGAAGTTTTAAATATTACATTTGAGTTTCCATGGATGTAAATTACTGCTCAGTTTAAAAATTACAATATTTAAATCAATATTTAAATAATAAAAACAAGTCACATGGGCAGACATTATAGACTTTACGCAAAGATTTAGTCTCAGAGGCAACTGAAATCAATTAATTTAAAAAATCCTTTCTGAATATCATCTCATGGTCTCTGAACTAAATGCGTCTTTCTGACCGGGAGCTGACGGCGTGTTGAAGAGTTACGGACCGGACGCTTTGGAGCGTCTGGTTAGGAAGCGCATTACAAACCTTTGGTTGCAACACGTGGCCTGCGGGCCTTGAGTTTGACACATGTGGTTTACAGTAATCAGTCTGATTGCCTTTGACCATGTCAAACGTTTTGTGCTACTCTGCGGTACACATTACACTCGTGATCATGTGGTGAGAGGAATGTGATGGTGTGAAAACTTTGATTAAATATTGTGCAGATTTTGATGTGAGACCTAAGTTGGCTTGCAGATCTTTTTTTTTTATTATTTATTTAAAAGATTCTTGTGTAAAATTATGGCTCACCAGCAAAAGCATAAATAACACTGCTGTCTTGAATGCTTATAATAAAGCTGATCTATGATTAAAGTTTAATATGGAGTGAAATTAAACGTCTGAGAAGAATCATGATGCAGTGTGACTTCAGTTCCCCACCTGCATGCACTTTGTTTATAAATGAGACTGTAGGTGATAATCCACTGGTGTAAAATGCATCCGTTTGTTTCCTGCTCTTTGTATCTTGACGAGTTTATGTGCCATTTATAAACCTGACAACTCATAGGCAGAAATGATGTCAGATGACAGATGGCATCAGGTCAAGAAAGAAAAATGCTAAGCAAAAGTTATCCCAGGGTTATCACCAGTATTGTCTAATGAGGAATGTTTAGTTTATAATAATAATAATAATAATAATAATAATAATAATAATAATAATAATAATAATAATAATAAGCTAAAGTAACGAAACTTAATAAATTAATTTCAAAAACTGCTCAACTTAACTTAAAAATGCAGAAAAGTGTATTGCATCTTCTCTCTAAGGTGCTGAAAAATAGGTCAATAATGCAAATTATAGCAATTTTAAAGTGGTGAATAAAAGTTTATATTGGTTCAATTTCTAGGCTTCGCACTTCATTAAAGTTTTGAAATACTGAGGCTAAAACTGCTAAGCTAGTAACTACGCTCGAGTCTAAAGAATAAATAAAATGGCTGTAATTATACTTATTTACTCAGCTAGTACAGTTAAGTTTGGTCTACACTAAACCAAACTGTGACTTTTTATTTCTGTTTGAGTTTTTGTTATTGTTTTATTATTTACAGAGGAAGCCTAATGTGAATTCAGTAAATGATATAAACTCCAAATATTTAATATGCAAAGTATGGGGTTCTGAAATAGAAAAACACCCTAAATCCAGTGATGGAAAAATCTGTAAAACTGTGATATTTTTGCTAAGACAGAACATCATGGTCATAAATCCACAGATAGTATGACTCACAAATGTTGTTTAATCCAAATCAGTCACTTATTAACAGATCTGATCAACAGAATTCACACATAATGATAATATATTGAGCCAATTGATTTGCACCTCACAAACAAACAGACAAAATATACAGTATCTCCACAGATTTGTGTGTGACGTGCTCAGGGAGATCTTCCTCTCGTATTGCCATGACAACATCTGAAAGCTCCTCAGCAAGGGTTTCCCACAGTAGTCAGAGTGATTTTCAGTCAGCATTGCATCATGGTTTGCACAATGAGAACATTTCAGGACTTTTTTTTTTTCAAGAGAAACTAGAAACACTTAGTAGTTATGGTTAATTCATCATCAGATGAAGAAAGAAAAAATATTAAAGAAGGTTTCCATGGGGAACATTTTAACATTTCATACCAGAGAGCGAACCAGACATCTTTCATGCAGAACTCAAGCCTCTAAAAGCAGTGAGTGAAAACTATCTTTTTTCTAGTTAGGAAGAAATCCAGAGGAACCAATCACATGAAATGCTTAGATATTGCCTCTCTAAACTCAACAATGAATCTGTTCTACTCCAGATGCCGCCATCATTTCAGTTGGCTTGTTCACCCTCATCTCCACTTGGCGTTAATTGTCATCTGCACTCATCCTCAGAGCAACAGCTAAAGCCTTTAGGACACCAAATGTTCAGCTCCGTTTCGCACATTCTGAAACATGCATGCAGATACAAGCACCCGCACGTCTTTCACAAATAACCTTTCCGAAAAGGCACGCTGAACGTACGGCACAAAAGAAATCTTGGGAGCAGCAAAAAAAAAAAAACACACAAAAAAATAAAAAAACACGAGGAGTCGTTGTGGACAAACATACCTGTAAACCAACGTGTCATCGCCGGAGCTGTTGTACTGGACCTGGAACATCCTCACTCCGGATGTAGGAGTTTGGCTGCTCCATCTAATGAGGGCAGAGTTTCCTGTGAGCTCCACCAATGATACCCTCCTGTCAGCCCCTCTTGTTTCGTTGTTAAGCATTGCGACTTTGGAGGAGGTCAGGATGTCGGAGGGCGCCGGCTCAGAAGAAGGATCTCGGCTGCGGCTCGTGCTGTTTGCAAGATGAGGCACTGCTGTGACGACTAACTCCACCCGTCCTGTGGATTCGCCTGCAGCGTTTGAGGCGATGCACGTGAAGTTTCCTGAATCCTTCAGGGACGTGACGTTGATTTCCAGGCTTCCATTGGGGAAAACTAAAGTTCTGCAAAAAAAAAAAAAAAAAAAAAAAAAAGGAATAACATTTTAAAAAACGTTTCCTGTTTTTCCATCAGTTATGATTAACAGAAGTATTTTCAGCTTGCTAATTGCCAGAATAAATAGGGAGAGATTTATTTAATCTTTGGAAGTTCACAAACATGTTGGAGTAATGTTTTCTTCCTCACTAGGCGGCCTTTCAGTCCCTCGGTGTAGAACTCATTTCAATCTAGATAATGATGGACCACAGCTTCAGCTAAAACTTTTTGTAAGGCATGTTATTTCTCTGGGATTGATGCACATTTTGCTCCTAACCATACGTTCATGTGTTGGTCAGAGAAGATGACTGCTTTCTGAGCTGTGCAATGACTGGATATTGGCCATGCTGTGAATGCATACACATAATTATTTGAATAGAGGAAGATTACACCATCCAGCATATTCTTGTCTGCTAGCTTGGCTGCAAAACTAACCTATCAGAAGTTTTATAGTAAATAAATCCATTCACAGTATACTTTTACTTCAAGTTTGCAGAACGTTGCCTTTATACAAGTACATTTCTTTAGTAGAAAAACAAAAAACTGCCTTTTTTCTTTGTCACATTATATGTATTTTCAAAGAGGTCAATTTTCTGTTATCCACTCTTCAAAATGGAAAAGACAAAAAAAAAAGGTCAATTCACATGAAACAAATGTATAGTGATCTTCATAGGTCTTCAAGACAACAGCGAGTCTTGGAAAAATCTCCATGTCTAAATTCGGTCAAATACTTCAAAAGGTTTAAAAACAACAGGAACTGCGATAACTACATCTTTCTTGTGTTTAGTCGGCTGTTCTCCGTAGTGAGCAGGATGGAACAGCAGGTCTAAATGTCCCATTTAGAGAACTACAATATTCATTCAATGTGAGACTATGCAATCGAAAGAAATGATTAATTTATTGTTAAGCATTTGCTCTAAGGGTGCCAGTAAATGGAGTCACCAGTGTTCATGAACTGAACTGACAGTGAAAATTGAATGGAAACATCATTTATTGTTGCAAGATTCTTCAAATTACAGGCACAGCAAGAACTGTAATATCATGGTGATACCTGGAGCCATTGGATATAAGTCGGCCTTCCGGGCTGATCCAGTGGACCTCAGGCTCTGGGTCTCCATTTGCTTTACATTTTAGACTTGCAGGCTGGCCTTCCATAGCGACAGTATGAGGCGACTTTCGAGTCAAAACTGGTGGATCACAAATAAATTCCTAAAAAGGAACATCAGAGAAGTAGATTAAGAGATCTATTTACTATTTGTGTGTCTGTGCTTGTTTTGTTTTTTTTTTTTCTTTGAAATGTAAAAGTGAAAGGTGAAACGCTCCGACCTCTTCCGGTATTGTCCAAAAGTATTTGGCGCTGAGATCTGAAGGGGAGGCACACGTCTCGAGGTCATCTTCTCTGGTCAGTCTCCTTAACCACAAAAGCTCACAGTTGCAATGAAGTGGGTTTCCACCAAAACTCAACACGAGAGAAGAGAGCGGGGAGCCTTTAGACTTGGCATATACTGGGATTCTCAGGAACAACGGATCTGGGGGAATCTTCTTCAGCTTGTTAGAAGTCATGTCCAGCCTTATCACGAACAGGGATAGACAATTGAAACATTTTCATGCAATAGCAGAGATAAACTTTTCTTCAGTTTTTTTTTTTTGTCAGTTCATTTTGTTTGGTAATTTTCGTGTCCTTACCTGGCCAGTTTGTGTAGATTGGTAAAAACTCCCTGGGGAACATTCTCTATGAGGTTATGATCCATGTTCAGGGTATTGACATTGGTGAGACGCCCAATCGTGTCCCACGGCACCTGGTCAAGGTTGTTGTAACTGAGGTCTAGGTCTTCGAGAGTAGTCACAAAGTCATCAAAGGCGTGAGGAGATATGGAGTGGAGCTGGTTATTGGACAGTATCAGATGGCGAAGGTTGGTGAGACCTTTGAAATGGTCGTCCTGGTGATCGGAACATGTGAAAAGACAATAAGATCCCGAAATGCAGTCATGTAGGTAAACATCAGTTGCTGTGAGTCATGATCGGTCGACCATGAATCGTACCTTTATCACAGTTAACCTGTTGGAGTCCAGATGGAGCGCTCTCAGTCGCCGCAGATCGCTGAATGCTGAAGGAAGAATCTGACTTATGGTGTTTCTGGACAGCGTCAGATGTAACAAGCTGGTCATGTTGGCAAAGTCTTTTCTTCGGACCGCTGCAAATTAGCAGAATAAGCACAACAAAAAGAGACGATTTTATAAAAACGAATGCCAGAAACTATGACTTTTAACAAAGACAGTCAGAAATTACAATTTAAAAAAAGTGTACGGCAACAATTGTGCTAGAGCAGAAGGTCCCACATAGTTGGTGTATCAAGCTTAGTTCCTCCTCACCTTGTAGTCGGCTGATACCCAAACCCATGTCTCAGCTTATCTATGACTGCAATCAATCAAGACAAACTGTCCCTGAATGTGGGTAAATCATCAATGAAACAGCAGCTGTCATTCTAATGAAAAGGCAACCAGGAAGGAAAAACTTAATGACCTCACAACCAAGCTAGAAACTTCTGAGCTAATATTATTATTATCTTCAAGTCGTCCCGTACAGAGCAGGAAAGGTAAAAGGAACACCAGTAAGCATCTGAAAAACATAATATATGCTCTGTCATGACGCTCCTGGCGTGATGGGGTTTGTCTAATACGTTTTAATTCAGTGTATAATGTGTAGCCTGGAAGTTTTTTTTTTTTTTTTTTTTTTTTTTATTTGCCCAGGCTTTACTTTCTGCACATCAAACACCCTCCCACAGCAGTAAACGCGTACTTGAAGGGAACATTGTAAAGTGATGTATTTGCATCCCTAGAGACCAGACCTTGAAATAATCAAAGCAGTGCAGGGACATCTTGACAGAACTAATAGCAAGCCAACATCCAAAGTGGAGCTTTGAATTGTCCTTCACGAAGTAGAGCTGTCCTTGAAGCTATTACAAGAAAGCATTCCCAAGAGAATAATAAAGAATAATGTTTAAGACTTACTTTTTTTTTTTTCAAATCCCAATTTTGTATTATATAACATATATTTGCTGTGATGTTTTAACATATTTTAAATCATCGTTTTATTCAGGCACATTGAAGCGGGGATGTGCGCAAACACTTCCTTCGACAAAGCTGAAGACTCATTTGTTTAGATCGGGGTTTAACTGTCTTTGTACATTATCTGATTTCTTTATGTTAGCTTTTAATTTCCTTTTGTTTTATCTTCAGTTAGTATATTTAATCGTCTATGTTTTGGTATGAGGCACACCATTTTTCTACTGATTGAGATTTGTTGAACCGAAAAAAGAAAAACAAAAAAAGTTAACATGGAATGACCATCTTATAGATCTTCATTAAGATAACAGAAAAATGTACAGGGCTTGAAGAAGGAGAAAAGTATATAAAATATGTGTAAAGTAAGGAGAGGAACCAGTAATGAACAAGGAAAAGCTAAAGAATAGACAGAGAAGAAAGAGCGAAGGATGACACTGGGTGCAACTGCAACTGGACAGGAACTGATTCTCGGTAAATGCAATCCACACAGCATCATTGCTCTAGATACTGGCTATTTACAGAGTCTTGTAATCAACCCAATTGTTCAGAAAGTTAAGAAGACAAAATATACACTGTAGATAAAATTGTACAAGAAACATGGATAACCATAGAGTTTAGATCTATAGCTCAAACCCGACCTGGAGTTTGCCCTGGGGCGGAGCCACAATTATATGGTTGGTGTCTGGGTTGGGGTCAGGCTTCCGAGGTGCATTTTTAAAAAGCACAGAGAAAACTAAACACGAATGCATGATATAAAGTTGTTTTAATCCATTTGTTGTAGTTTAAATAGAGAAGGAAGTACTTTACCCTGTTGAGAAAAGAAAGGAAATAAGGTGCAAATGTTTCATTCTGCTGGGCACCTAACAATCATACGTCCCAGAAGATTTGCAAGCAGAGTGCGGTCTGGAAATACTTTAAACCCGTGTCAGTTTAAGATATGTCAGGTTCACTACGAGCTCGGGCCTCTAATTACAGCTAATTAGTCAGGTTGGATTGGGGGTTGGCTGGATTTTTTAGGCCTGGTTTTAACTCTAATAACTACAGCTTTTATAAAGGAAAGGACATTTAACAGTTTGGAAGAAATTCACCAGGCATGGATTGCTGCTGGACTGGAAAAGAGGGTACTTCTTCTGCATCACTTGTGTCAAGCCACTCCTGAACCAAAAACAACTTCAGAAGCATCTTCCCCAGAAGAAAAAGCTCTGAACTGTTGCTCGGTGGTCATAAGTTCTTCTTTTATTGCAAACCAAATTTTGCTTTTTTATCTTGACATAAAAAGTCTGGAGTGGAAAAAAGTAGAAGGTCTGTAGAGGGGAAATGTGCAAAATTTAAGTTTCTCGAGGAGCAGTCTGTAGTTCCAGTCAGAACGTTTTTGGAAAGCTGCTGTTGTTCCACTGCATTTCACGAAGTACAAAGAGAAATCGCTCATTTCGTGGGAAACTCTATGAAGCACTGTTTTGATAGAGATTTTGATTTCATTTCCCAGCAGAACATGGCATCTTTCCTCACACTATCAAAAGGACCAATACACGGTTTGCTGACAACAGTATTTCTCCGTTTGATTGGCAGCAAACCGGCTTTACCCAAATCCAACAGAAAATTCATGTGGTGTTTTTCAAAAGGAAGATGAAGGACACCAGCTGAACGAAAGGAACCTCTGCTTCCTTAATGCATCCATGCAATGCTTCACTGATTCAATAACTCATGCAAAAAGGAGCCCTGACCAAGCACTGAGTCCATGTTTTGTACAAATGGACATACTTTTTATTAGAGTATTTCAGTGTTAAGAATTGTTTTCACAGAAACTAAATTTCTGATTTTCATTTCGCATTAGCCATAGTCATCAAAATTAGCACAAATAAATGCTTAACATATTTTCTTCTGTATGTAATGGAGCTATACGAGTTACATTCTTTATTTAAATACTAATTTAAATGAACTTTTAGGTGATATTCCGATATATCCAGATTCAACGTTTTAGGTTTTAAATGAAAACAGTATCTGCTGAACATTTTTCTGCAGAATAAAACTAGGAAGAAGTTCATTTAAATTTATGTCTCTTTTATTTTAGTGGACTATGGGTTTAGAGAGCCAATGTGACTACAGATTAGAAATAAACCGATCATGTTTCAAAATAACACAAAAAGGTTTTTGATGTCAGATCTAAAAGAAACAAATGAGATTAGCTCGGCCAAACAAAAATAATATAAAAAAGGTAGTTAAATTTAAAAGGACGATTACAAACACAGCAAAAAAATTCATTTTCAAGAAACAGAATAAAGAGTACCTTGCATTTGTATTAACAACGGTGAACAAATTGTTTCAGCGAGCTGCTGAAACAATTTGAGATGGAGTCGATATGCATCCAATTATTAGTATAACACTGAATTTATTATAGTTTAAAATAAACAAAATGCCCGCAGTGGAAATAAGGGGATATGCAAATATGTCATTTGAATTTTAGCAGTTTATCTGTATAAACGACAGACGGATCCAACCCGACAGTAGGTGTGATACCTGTGATGAAGTTTTCTTGAAGACGTAGCTCCACTGTGCGTCGATCGATGGCAGTGGGAACAAAGAGCAGGCCTGTTTTGGAGCAGAGGATGGCGAGTGATGGAGAGAGGCTCTGGCACATGCAGCGTTTTGGACACGACTGTCCTCTGCATGCTGCTGCCAGCAACAGAAAAGAGAACCACAGCCGTTCCATTATCCTCCCCAGGAAACAGGGCAACTGCAAGACACACACACAAAAAAACAGAGGAGTGAATTAAAGTGGAGAATGAGAATGGTACTGCTACAGCAAAGGCCCCCAGGAAGTAACAAACCAGGGTGAATCACTGCACTCCGAGATTCTTTGTTCAGGTAAACAAGCATACAGGTTATCTCCAGTAGTTTGTAGTTTGGTAAATCTGCCAGCTTATGAACATCATGCTGTTAAGCTACCATTTACTGCAGGTCCTCTATTGTTTGGGGGGGGGCAGATTCTGCTTTTAATCTTCAAATGTAAGTAAAGCTTATTAAGAAAAAGAGAGTCAATAATAATAGAATGCATTCTTTCCTCTGGTTGTGCAACACATTGTTTCACTGCATTATATTTGCCAAGCCACATCTGCTATTGTACATCATGGCAGGCATGAAAATGTGTTATTTTCCCCACATCACACAATAAGAGATCAATAACGGCAGAACAGATTCTTCTGAAAAGATTATTAAACATTTGGCGCAAACATAAAGTTGTAAGGCCATGTTTCTTAGCAGCAGCATTTTCTTCAGAATAACTTCACATGTTGCATTGATATAGAAGCACATAATGAGATGTAGATGTTTCTGCGTACAAGTGCATTGCATTTTCTTTAGTTTTTTCCTGAAATAAGAACTTCAATATATATCAATGCTTTTTTTTTTTGTAAAAGACTAACACAAACTAGTGCATGATTGGGATGGAGGGGAACTAATTGTTTTAATTTTATGTTAAATAGATGACATTTTGAAAATTGTGACATGCGTTTATATTTCGAACCCCTTACTCGATGCTTTGCGGAAACGCCTACAGTTACCGTTTCAGTCTCTTGAGGTCTGTCTCTATTGAGAAAGTGGAATGTTTGTCCATTCGTCCTAGGAGTCTCTAGGGCCCAGCGTCTCCCGAGTGCAAAAGCAGCTGTGCTCCAGCGCGCCATGGCAGCTCTTGCGTGGCCCAATCTGGCGTTTTGTTGGCATAGGCCTTGCTAATTCCACCTGCTTTCGGCTGCAGCTACGCCAGCTGCCTTGGGGTTGCCTTCCTGTTTATTCAGTTTATTTTAATTATTGTACTTTCAGTAAAGTTGTCATTTGTTCCGGCTCAACGAGCCACGTCGTAACACTTGAAAGCAGCAGTGTGTTCAGGCCGTATGTTTTCTGTTGCGCTGAGACACCGCATGTGTGTCAAGAAGTTAGATTCTGGTGTCATTTTACCAGAGCACCTTCGTTTACATGCTTGCCGTGTCCATTACATGTCAAGAGAAACCTCAGATGGGACTTGTGGCTTACTTGCAACAACTCCACAGTCTTGCCTCTCTCCCATAGATTAACGATGCCTTGCTCAGCCTTTCAGTCGAGGCGGATGATCATGTCTTGGACAAACTCTTTCCATTTTCAAACGGATAGACTGAAGAGTGCTATACGAACTGTACAAAACTTTGGACAATATTTTACAACCTCAGCAACAGAATTCAATTAAATTAAAATTCCAAAATACGTTATTGACCCCAAAGGTAATTTAAATAAATTATCTATTCAGCAAAGCAGTGTTACATACTAATATTGCATGACAATAACTGTAAAATGCAACACCTGCTGCAAACTGGACCCTTATGGCAAGCTGAAAAAACACTAAGTTGGACACCCAGTCTACTCATAGCATTAGTATAGAAAACAAAGGCAATTCTCTCTGTCTTTCTGTCTCTAACAGACTCAGTTTGGATACAAAACTGTAGTTCTGTACCAAAAGCACACATAGCTTTATAGGCTGATATCAGTATGCATGTTTTCAGTCTGACTGAATAAAATGCCTCCGACAAAAATTTCTTATTTTGAGCATTGCCTAACAATTTCCTCAGATACCATTTAGTAAAGATGTGTTTCTAATCTTTTTTCCCCCCATTTTAAATTTTTTATCAATTACTTTTTCATGTTTTCTGGTTTAATTCACTATAATTATTTAATCTTACATGCATTCCAAAACATTTTTTTTTACTATTAATTTCCCAGGACCACTGTCATCAGAGTGTTTCTCTAACTGTGTCTATATATACACGACTCCCTACTCGTCACTCTCTTTATTCCTATGTCGTCAGTTTTTGACGTTTACGGAGCTCTACGACGTTCAACGAGAGCACCCTGCACGTCAATTAATGACGAGAAAGGTCTAACCAATGCGTCAACATGTGACTCAGAGGGAACCTGACCAAGCATCCATATATGACAAGCCGGGAGTGAGAATGTGTTAGCGTGCCAGCTTACATGTAGGCTACTCCCCTCATGCATGTACACACACACACACACACACACACACACACACACACACACACACACACACACACACACACACACACCCCTGCCCTCCTCCCAACATTCAGCTGCCTCTCGTTGGGCTGACAGTAGGTAACTTGACCTCTTTCCCAATCTGTCCCTGGGTTACGTCTCGCTCCCAATGATGAATCCCTCTGAATCACTGATTCCCCATCCGTCTCCAGACGTGAACGTGCTGGAACTTTGTGTGGCAAACGTCCACCAACAGGATTGGAGTATTTATTTATTTTTTTGTGTGTGTGTCAACTCAGATGTTTTTAGGCTTTTTTTGTTTCACAACTCAAATGACAGAAGACACAGTGTCGGTCAGAGAAGAGTGGTGAGGCAAGCCAAGGAGTAATCAGAGGTTTTATTGGGTTGGCCTTCAAGAAAATCAATGGACTGTCGCGGTTGGAGCGGCATAAAAATGTTGACTGGCTTTTTATTTGTACAAACTTTGGAAAGCGAACTTTGGAAGTAAAAACTGGAGTTTCATAGAAAAAAAAAATCAACAAAACTTGCAGTGCATTAGGCAGGCAGATAAGCAATGTGCTATTAATGGTGAAACGTTTTATTTCAGAACCTGATACTTTAGTTGGAATGTTTCATAAATAGCAAATGCATTTCAGTTTAGCTGCAGTTTACAGGTTGGTGGTAATTTCCTTCTGTCTTAGTTAATAGCATTACATTAAAGCCATTATAATAATACCAGTGGTTCTGAGTAAGGCTCTACAAAGCACCGAAGTTAGTAGATGCTTCTACAATACCTGTTAAATGTCAAGTGATTCATCACTGCATCACCTAGAGAACGACTATTTCTAATTTTATAGAATCTCAGTAAGCCAGAGTATGTACCTGGAACTCAGCTGATAGGTTTAACATATTCGAGCGCTTTCTTTTGTAGAGAAAAATAATGACTAGGAAATACTATAATGCACCCCTTTTTGTGTTAAATTACCAAAACAGTTAAATATCATAGTTAGAAAAATGACAGGAAGACTGCAGCCTGGCAAAAAAAAAAAAAAAAAAAAAATCTAATCTGATAGAAGCCCTTCATAACTGATACAGACAAATATGTGCAAAATATGAGGAATGGAAAAAGTGACAGTGAAATGGTAGAAGAATTTAGGTGGAGCACTGCATCATCAAGCATTTAGGTGATAAGCAACGAGTTCAGGTTAAGGTTCAGGACAAGTAAAATAAATAGAAAAAACACTTCCATTGTGACTTTGAGAACAGATCATGCTTGCTTTCAATGGTAGAGCATTTCCACTGCACCCATCAGCCAACATAATGTCCACACCTTTATGTCAGCTCTGGCATCTCGTACTAAGGTCCATATAGGTGCTGACAGCGCTCTCATCTCTGTTTCTGTCTCCGTTTCTCAGCAGAAACGGAGACAGAAAAAAGCCTGAGACTCGTGCTTCTGTCTGTGTATAGAATCTTACTGTAAGTGCCTGAATATTATGGTACTGAGCTAAGCTGTATAGTAGCCTACCCATTGTTTGTGCAGCACTTTTTTTCCCCCAACTTTGCATACACTGCCCTGCTAGATGAAAGAGCCTCTCTACCACCATCAGACTCTTTGCTGTCATCAAAGGACTCAGAAGAAAAGCAGGTAAACAGCACGGCGGATGGAGCATGCTTGTTGTAGCAACAAGAGGGGGGAAATTGGGAAGCGGTGGGGGGCGAACAGCAGGCTGGATTCCACGCCTGGCGTGGTTCCATGATTCCGTGCCGAACGGTTTTCTTTGCATTTCGCACTTTCTGCTTGATAAAAGATGTCTAGTCAGGTCAAAGGGTTTAAGTCGAAGCAAAGTCATAAGTGATTAGTGTAAAAATTGAAGTCAAGTCTGAAGTCATTAAATTTGTTACTTGAATCTCAGGACACTTACATTTCGGGATGTTACATTGTGACATTGTGCTACATTATAAACCTACACAATTGTATAATATATATATATATATATATATATATATATATATATATATATATATATATATACACTGCTCAAAAAAATAAAGGGAACATTTCACTTTAATTTTGTGTGTGGCTCCAAATCCAGGCCTCCATTGGTTAATAAATTTGATTTCTATTGATGATTTTTGTGTGATTTTGTTATCAGCACATTCAACTTTGTACAGAACAAAGTATTCAATGAGAATATTTCATTCATTCAGATCTAGGATGTGTTATTTGAGTGTTCCCTTTATTTTTTTGAGCAGTGTATATAATCCTGACTACCAGTAGTTCATTTTTGTCTTCTGTAGAGGACATTTCTAAACTTGAATATCTCCCACCCCCTGCATTCTACTGAATTAATTCCTTTTGGTATCTGGAGAGGACATTTAGGGCTTTTCAATGATACCACATATGAAGGGGGGGGACTTTCGTTCGTATCTTTTTCTAATACATAAAAATTGTGTTCATCAGTAATAACACATTTTATGGGAAGAGACAAAGTAAGTGCATAAAACCTTTTATTACCTTTCAAAGAATGTGGGATTTAAAAAAAAAATGGTGATTGGACAATATATTTTTTCCTGGTAGTCAGGAGGATATGATTAAGAACTGTCACTACGAATTTTCAATCTAAACTTCCTTGCTACTGAACCTGGCATTGCTCAAATACCCCTTTCACACTATTATGTATACACATAATATATGTATTATGTTGCAGCTTG